GTGCCACAAGTGGAAAATTCCACACCTGTCATCTTTGCTTTCTGACGGTTCAATGCATACAAAATTTGTTTCATGCACAAAATTATTTAAAATATTGTATAAAATGACCGTCAGGCTATGAATATAAGGTATATATGAAAAATAAATGATGAATTTCATATTTAGACTTGGGTCTCATTCCCAAGATATCTCCTTATGTTTATACAAATATTCCAAAATCTGAAAAATCTAAAATGTGAAACAATACTGGTCTCAAGCATTTTAGATAAAAGATAGTCAACTTGTACTTAGCTGGCAGCTGAGCATAACGTGAGTTAATATAAACGAAAGTGCCTTTTGTTTCTTGCAATGTTCCTGTGTCATGTGCTGTTCTGGGTGCTGGGAATATGGTATAAGTGGTGAACATAGCAAACAAGATTCCTGTCCTCACAGAAGAGAAGTCAGCTAAGCTGACTGAAGAGACATAAGAGGAAAACGAGACAAGTCATGGTACCCCAAAAGCCTAGAAATAAAGTATTACAAGAAAGAGGGAATGTCAAAAATGTACAGAGGGGGACTGATGGGAAAGGGGCATGAGGGAACTTTTTGAAGCAATGAAAACATTTATATCATGATTGAAATAGTGGTTTTACAATGGTTTACATTTGTCAAAACTCATTAAATGTACAAATAAAATTAGTAAATTTTATTTTATGTACATTATAAATACTTCAATAAGCCTAATTTTAAATAGTATAAATGTCATTTAAGACAATAAAAAGGACAGAGGTGCTGTTCTAGATTAAAGGAAAGTCAAGAAGTATGACATGTGGATGTAATGTAAGATCTTTGGATCCTGAATCCAAAAAAGTAAAAGCTATAAAGAATATTTTGGACACCTCAGTCGGGAGTTCGAGACCAGCCTAAGTAAGAACAAGATGCCATCTCTACCAAAAGTAGAAAAAATGAGCCAGGCGTGGTGGTGCATGCTTGTAGTCCCAGCTACTCTGGAGGCTGAGGCACGAGGATCATTTGAGCCCAGAAGTTTGAGGTTGCAGTGAGGTATGATGACACCACTGATTTGGGGGCAAATCAGGAAATTTGAATATGCAGTTTAATATGAATATTAAACTGTATTATATCAATGTTAAACCTTTTTATTAGTGTGACCATTTTATTGTGGTTATTTAAGAGAATGTCCTTTTCATAGGAGATGTATTTTTAAATAAAGTGTCAGGATGTCTGCAGTTTACTCTCAAATGGCTAAAAAAGAAAAAGCTAATCCATATGAGTGAAGATTGACAGATATAAAACAAATGTAAAAAAATATTAACAATTGGTGAAATCTAGGTAAAGGGTAGGTAAAGGGTCTCCACATATTCACTGTACTCATTTTTCAACTTTATGTATTTGAAATTTTTAAAAATAAGAATTAGGGAACTAAAAAAAGAGGGAATAATTAGCTGTGTCAAAAACTATTGAGAGGTCAGGTAAGATGAGAATGGAGACATGATCTTTGATTCTGGCAAGACACTGGTCATCGATGACCCTTTTGCAAGAGCATTTCAGTTTAGTGAAGGGGCAAAAGCTTGGTAAGAGTGGACAAAGGAGAGAATGAGAGGTAAGAAAGTTGAGGCAGTGAGTACAAGTAACTCTTTCAAGAATTTTGCTATGAAGGGCAACAGAGACATACGATATAGAGTCAAGGTAGCCTCCCTATACCAAAGGTAGAATTAAGATATTTTGTATGCTGATGGGAATGATCTAATAGAGAAAAAGGAATTGATCATATAGAAGAGAAAGCGTATAAATGCAGCAGTAATGTCTTTGAGGACTGTGAGAGATGCTAGGATTTAGGTCTGAAAAGGAAGGAATCACCTTAGATGAAGTTGATGATAACAACAAGGAAAATGACAAAAATGACAATTGCAGTAACACAGCAGCTAACCAGAAAATAGGCAGGCACTATTTAAAGCACTTTTACTCATTTAATTCTCACACCAACCCTAACAGGAAGGTATTATTACTAATATCTCCTTTTACAGGTGAGGAAGCTGATGTACAGAAAATATGATTAATACCCAAGGATACATATCTATTAATAGTAAGAGGCAAAGCTGGGATTTAGAACCCAATGGAAGAGACTTTTCTTTCAGTGCAACAAGAGGGGAGGCAGAGTTTGTGGGTGTAGATGCAGCTGGGCTGGTGGTAGCGGAAACATGAGGTAGCTCTCGTATGATTACATCTATTTTCTCAATGCAGCATTTGGTGAGTTCATCAGCGGAGGGGGTGGGGAGAGGGGATGTTGGAGTTTTGAAAAGACAAGGTGAGAAATTCTTGTTTCAGAAGAGAGGGAAAGTGAATTTACTAGCAATGACTGGTGGTACTGAATACCCCTTTGAAATTCATGGCTATAAATTTCAAGTGAATCTACTTGTCCTGACTGGACAATATTTTCTAGCAAGTTTCAGCTGTTTCAGAGAAGGCATAAAGGGGAGAACTGGGTTTAACTACGGTGAGTTTTATCCAGGCAAGGGGGACCTAAGAATAAAGAAACCAGGGAGTAAGGGGTGTTCACGAAAGAGTGCTGACAATATAGCCATGGATTCCAAGCTAGGTAAGGAGGAATGTATGGCCATAAAGGATATGACAGATACAGAAAAAAGTGGTAGGACTGGAGACCTGTGAGGTAAGAGAGTAGTTGGAGTGTGAATATTAGAGAATAAGTAATAGTCAGAGTAGGAAGTGTGAAAAGGAGATTTCAAAAGGAATGCCATTACTGATGATGGTAAGGGGAGATTACAACCACATGATGTGGATGGAAGGCTGAAGTGACTGGATGAGAAAAGGCTAGGGTGCTGGATGATTCCTCTATGTGGATGTGGAAGTTATGCGGAGAGATAACAGAGGCAGTGGTGGAGAGTCATTAGTGAAGATGGGGCAGATGACAGTAACAAAGAAGGGTAAGAGGAGTAAAGTCTGATGTGATATACTTGAAAGATGTTAGGGGGACTGAAAGAAAAAGAAGGAGAGATAATTTGTAAGTTGTAGTGGGGAGCAAGGATACCACCCAGCCCCTCGCAGGCTGTGAGGTACATGAGGTGGGGAAGAAAAAGTAGGCTCTAATTTGAGAAGCACCCTCAGTTAGAGCAAGAAAGTGAAGGGATTGTTCAGAGAAGAGGCTAGGATGTAGCACAGTACTTGACACACAGTATATATTCAATAAATAATCTTTTATTTGAATCTTAATTTTTATAATAGTTTACTATATCCTAAAAATGAAAAAAATTTAAAGACTATTTACAAAGAATCTGAAACAGGATGAAAATACAATGATGTTCTAATGATTGTATTTTCCAAATCCATGAAAGGCTCATCTTCAAAAATTAGTCACCTAGCCAAGATAAACATAGTTGAACAGCATCTTATTGTTTTTGGCTTAATGTCAATGGATAGCTCACTGTTATAAAATAAAACCAGGCATTCTCTTGCATAAGAACTCAAAATCAGAAGAACAAAATTAAGTGAATTTTGCCTTGATGAAGCTGAGAAAACAGACTTTCTGAGTATAAAGTGACCAAAGTTAAATCTGTCACAGTTCAAGCAGAGGAATGTAGGTACTTATAGGATGAGAATAAATGAGATTTCCTAAATATATTTTTTTAAGTATAATAAAATACATTTTTTAATATATTATCCTTATGCTGGTAGTATGATTATTCCATGAATAACTTTAGAGTTATGCCTTTACTGAAGAAAAAGATATTCTTCTCAATGTTATAGTTTCTTTTCTTAAATTTGTTCTGAACATCTTTGTAAGACTAAATAAACATTATAATTTGCTTATGCTTTAACAAAAAAAGCCCTTTATGTTATATGTCTCTAAAGTTGCCTCCTGAGCATTTCTAATAAGCTGTCTGTATACAGCTCATGAAATTCTATAGTCCTCCATAGTCTTAAAATGTACGATGAATAATATTTGTTCCCTAAAGACTAAATTTTATTGAATTTATCTATAATCCCCCTAAAAATCAACTGTTTGTTTTGTAACTGTATTTGATGACTTAATTATGATCATCAATCAGAATCTGGACTGGTACTGCTGCAGGTTAATTCAAAGGGCTTTTCAGTTTTATCTTCCTTATATACTATGAGATTTTTAACACTAGACAGAAAATTTCCTGGTAGTTCCAGTATGCCAGATAAATGGACTTGGGAAAGATGGCCTACTCTCCTATTTTCAGTAAGGTAATATGATGTGCCAAAGAAAGCAATTAGTCAATAATATACATTGTGCTAATTTATAATGCACAGCTCATACTGGGAGTTCTTTCTCTTCTCCATGAAGAACCCAGCTGTAAGTAATCTCTCCTTCACTAAATTTCTTTAGTACTTTGTATATTACTTATGGGACTATCTCTTTGGAGTACAGTTATTTCTGTGCTTGTTTTATTTTTCCCTCTAGACTATAAGCAAGTATACTATGCCTTAACATCTTTGGATTATAGTACTACATATATTTTGTTTAACAGCCAGTATGAGTAGTAGAACAAAATGCAATGATAATACTATCAATAACAAAAGCATCGGTATTATAGATTAAACATTATTAGGTTTCTGTGGCTTGGTCTAGGATCATATTAACATTTAGGTAACAAACGAAACTGCTTTAAGTTCCCAAACTCTAATTTACAAATTCACTGTTAGAACACAGAAAGGATTTCCTATACTACATTTATGAGTACAAGGGCCCCAGACAGGAAGTCTGTAGAGCAGTTCAGATGCTATCTTTTCCAATTTTTCAAATAAAAGAGATCTATTTTTTCTTTTAAAAATATATTTAATAGCAATTTTAAAAAATATATATGGAAGTTCAAAATAATATTTTTGGGAAAATGTTTCAGAAATAATGCATGGATATATACTTGCCCAATTGAACATTTTAAATGCCTTTTAACTAATTCAGAAAATCATGGTTAAACAAAGGAATCTCATGTTCATAAACCAAAGTTTCAACTTACCATTTATGTTTATTGCTGGTAATACAATTGACATTTTTGGTCTTGTGGTCTTGTTATGGGTGGTAGCTGGTAACAGCAGGTGATCCTAAAATTGACAAATAACAATCTGTTATATATAACAATTGTTTTAGTCCTGAGCAGGCCAAATTCAGGGTTTCTAAGAGGAACACTTCACTGGGATCATGACGAATGACAGTTTTTACTTGAACTTGTCTTAGAGGTAATTAACTACAAATCATCTTGTAATCATGCATGCATTCATTAATGTAATACACATTTACTGTCTACTAATACCAGGCATTGTGTACTCATTTTGGAAAACTCCTTGGTTGGGATAACATATATGCTGCAGTATATAGAACACTGATCAAGGAGGTTTAAAACAAGGGGTTTTAGTTCTGTGACTAGCTGCATGCTCTGGAAAAGGCTACATAACTTTTCTGGGTCTCGGTTTCTAGTCCTGTAAAATGACGACAGCTAGATTAGATAATGTCAAAAAATATTGAAATTATCTATCTACTAAACAGTCATTTTCAAATTTTTTTTTAAGGAGAAGAATTTTTTTTTCTCAACATAATTCTTATCCCAAACTACTGATATATAAAAGAGAGATGCTAATTGCCAGGGCCTAGAGCCTTGCCTGCTTAGCCTCTTATCCTCTTCTGCCTCTGAAGTGGCCACAGACTTAGACATTTATTTGTAACCAATAGGTACATACAAAAGAAGATGTACCATTCTTGCCCTGAAAAAGCGTATATAGTTCAGTACAAAAGCTAATATTATAAATGTGTGTCTAGCACAACTGTATAGTCCTAAATATAATATAGCCAACTTTTGATGATCTGTAAGTGACCCAGGTTACCTGAAGTTTCTGGTTTTAAGCCACACCATTACTAAAAGTAAGATTGAGCCAAGAGGAGTCTGGCTTCAGAAAAGGGGAAGTATAAGTGTTTTGAAAAATGTATATATATCTGTAGGTATTCTAAAACTGATTATAAATGACTCATGACTTTGATATTAACTATTATTTTCAATAACACCTTTTCTTCCTAGAAAAAACATAGGAATTGTCACAGAAAAAAGGAAAAAAAGATGTACATTAGCATTTCCATTTAAACTGGAGATAAAACTGAACCTAAGTTTAACCCATTTTTCTTTCTTTTCTTGTTCCTACGTTGTTTCATCATTCATTCGACAAACTTGCAATATGAAACGACCCAACAAAAAGCAGGATTTGATATAGCTAAAAGTGATAAAAATTTGATACAACTTAGTTGAAAGTCAACATGATTAAGAAATGCAGTTATCAGCAAAGCCAAAAAAAAAAAAAAATCTAAAATGTGCAAACAAATTGAAACTGATATATATGAATAGAACTGTGTAGAAAACAATTCCAGTAACTACTTATGCTCTGTGTAATTCAAGGAAACATTTCCATGAGAACATGTTTTTAAAAATCAGGGAGGGGAGGGAAGATAAATAAAGTTCTGTTAGAATTCCAGTATTGTAGCATGGGAGTTGTTTTGTTTTTTGGGTTTTTTTTTTAAGTACATTGTTAGAACACAAAGATCACACAATTCCGAGGGTAAGACAACATTATAACCAAGAGAAAACACAGTTTGCTGATCTTCATGCCATGGAAATTATAAATAGCTTAATTCCTATAATTAAAATACCGTTTCAGGGTCTCTAAATTGAATGTGAAAACAAACCAAAAAACTTGCAAGTCCCAAATTAAGGCTATTGTAAAAATAAACACACTTAGATTCCCTTGGTCATGGGTTAAGGTCAGGCTCAGACTTAATTCTGAGTTTCCTGCTAAGATCTAGATGCCATACTAATTGTTGTTTTGAAACATGATTTTCTGAACATCATCATGTCTACTACTTTTTCTCTTCAATAAATTTCAAACGAAGTAGTTACTTTTCCAGCAGAAAGCCAAAAACCACATTATTAGGTATGAAAAAGAAGAATCATATCTTGCATGCATACAACTTATTACAGTTGACTTGCCTTGTCTCTAATTATTAAAGGTTTGCAAAGTGCAGGAACAGCCTATAATTTAAAGTGCTTGTTTACCAAGAAGCCCAAAGATCAGACTGCAGGGAACCAAATCTGGTATATTACAAACTTTAATGTGTTTATCTTAGGTTAAAAAATAAATTTTATATATATATTCATATATCTGGGATAGTATAGTTACTTCATTTAACATTTACCTTCACTTCCTCAAAAATAAATGTTCCTTGAGCCTCACAACAATGAATCTTGATAGTTTTTTCTCTCTATGTTCATCTTATGCTTTCTTAGATCATTAATCCCATTAGCCATATTTTCAGAAACAAAGGTATTTTAGTTAATCAATCAAGAAATATTTACTCGCCAGGCGTGATGGCTCATGCCTGTAACCCCAGCACTCTGAGAGGCTGAGGCAGAAGGATCACTTGAGGCCAAGAGTTCCAGACCAACCTCAGGAAGAGTGAGACCCCATCTCTACTAAAAATAGAAAAAATTAGCCAAGTGTTGGCAGGCCTATAGTCCCAGCTACTTGGGAGGCTAAGGCAGGAGGATCACTTGAACCCAGGAGTGTGAGTCCAGCCTGGGTAACATAGTGAGACTTCATCATAAAAGGGAAGGGAAAACGGAAGGGAGAAGGGAAGGGAAGCTGCCATAGAGAGAAATATAGTAATTAACCATAAAATTAAGGTCCAACTGAGTTATCAAAGTTTGATTCCACAAATCCATAGTAGAACCTGATTTACTAGATTAAATGGCCCTTCGCAACCCCTTGTAAAATTCACTGACTGGTGCCTGTAGCACACTGTGTATTTACAACTAGTTGTTTTTTTTTAAAGACTACTTTTACCAATTGTATTTGTCAGTATAATTTAATGAAATATTACATAAACTGATAAAATATAGTGTGAAAAGATAGAAAGACTTGGTAAAAGCGAGTAAGTTAAAAAAATTTCTCTCATTGCAAAACCACCATACAAATCATAATAGTCTGCACTCAGATTGCTTAACAAGTATATTTAAGTTCTTACTCTAATTTAAAGTAACTGTAACCAATACTGGAAATTAAGTGCAGGTTAAGCAAGAAAGGCAACATGAAACTCTAAATAGTGGACTGGACTCAAAGAAAAGGCATTATTGGCCCTACAAAAAAACCTGGCAAATGAATGCACATTTAAATAATTATATGAAATAAAGATTTACATATATCTTTTTAAAAAATGATTTCCTGCTTCAATCAGTCTTGTTAATTAACAGACCATCTCCTATCCCCATTACACTAGATAAAATGGCTTCTACTGTATTAGGAAACTCTGGCTTGAGGCTAGAGCCCATTATCTTGGATAGAAAGGAATGTATTTTTATCACGATGTTGCCCATGGAATGAAGAAAACTCAGTCTGCAATAGACTGCGCTTGTGACACTGAGCAGCTTTCACACAGATCAACACGGATGTCTATCAGGCAAAAAGTTTTGCATAGCAGGCCAATATTAACAACGACCTCTTAACATTTTATATTTGGCCCATATCCACCAGATTCCAGACATGGGGTTGGTTTTCCAATACAGAGACTGTTAAAACCAGATCAAAAGTGAAAATAGTGTCTATCTTTATTTCAAAAACAGCTTTGTATTAAATTTTCTCTACCTCATGTTCTTGTCACAGAGAGCTTTTGTTTTCTTCTATCACTCTACCTCATTTACCTTACTAACCATCTTTTAAGCTGTCCAACAAATTGAAGGGCATGTCAAGCCTCAAAAATAAGAGGGCCAAAGCAGCAATTAGAAGTATGCTTTTCAAAGTTACTTATCTATATTCATAATATTTTGAACTAATGTTGTTTTCTAGTAGTTATACTAATTGTTGATCAGAAACCAAATCTGTTCATTCACTAATGCGATGGTAATTAGGAAATCTGAAATCATTAAAATACAGACACATAGTGACATATCCTGAAAATAAAAATTGTAAAAAAGTTAGAGGCAGTAAAATTAATTAAGTAAAATGTAATCATTTAAAGTCTATTAAAATGTCTATGATGCAGGGCTTCCCATCATAGTAAAAACATAAGCAAATTATATTACTCATCTCAAATAGTTAATATAAATAGCTAATATGAATGTAGTATTTGTGCCACTAATGTATGCAATAAAACTACAGACCAATAAAAGGAAATGTAAAGCTTGCATCTGCACCATTAGTATGCATGTCAGCCAGAGGAAGAATAAATCAAAACTATTAGTGTACAACAGATGGCCCAAGAATGAGTCAAAGTTTTCACTTTGACAAGAGGATAATTTTGACACTTTATACAAACCTGATAATGCAGACAAGGTCACCAGGGGGAAAATGAACTTCAAATCCTAGTAAGTACAAACTCAAGTTTTGCTTTAAGATACGGTTTTCATATCAAACTCTGCAAGATGCCCCAACTGACCATGGCCTCCTCTTTTATTCACACAAAAAAATCAGGTTAGGCCACACAAAACTCGCATTTTTGTAGGTCAAATATCAGCAATTTCACAAGGTTAAACCTAAGATTTATGCCTGTCTTTAAAAACCAGAATACATTTTGAGTTTCTTGGTCAAAATGGTCTGTTGTAAATACTTTCCCAAGGATAAGGCAGTAGTTTACAAATCATTCTTTTTTTTTTTATGAGAGTTTCAGGGCAAGTATTTCTCAACAAGGTCAGGATTGTTTTCCCTAGAGAAAGCTCTTAGACAAAATATTCATTACATGCTTTGGACAGGTATAGGACCAGCAAGTCTTTGACCCTGTACTTCATATTATATTCAATAACTAAAGTTAATCAAAGTTCACAATGTTGTCAGCTATAATAGAGAGCTTTTTCAAAGACAGGGCAGTGTGTGATATAGGAAAATAAGTGAAGACCTCTGAAACTTGTTATTAATTATCATTTGATGAGTGTCAACTGTGTGGCAATCCAAAAAAGTGTCTTATTAAAGAAAAAGATCAAATACTAAATGCATAAAAAATTTAACCATTTGAAAGTTTGTCAGATAAAATGTTTTCGAAAGCTTTCATTTTAGAAAATTCACTTTACTCA